TACAAGGTCTGAGCCGAAAAATCGAGATACCTGAGAAAAATGCTCCTTACACAGAAATCGAACTCCGGTCTGTTGGCATAAGACAGTGAAGCGCCTATCTGCTATATCACAGACGTCGGTAAAGTCTTATTACACTATATATATATATATATATATATATATATATATATATATATATATATATATAAATATATATAATATGTTATGTGCATATATATCACATGAGATATTTTTGTGTATTATATATGCGAGAGAGAGAGAGAGAGAGAGAGAGAGAGAGAGAGAGAGAGAGAGAGAGAGAGAGAGAGAGAGAGAGAGAAAAGAATGAGAGAGAGAGAGAGAGAGAGATTGAACAAGTAGGAGGGGGAGGGGTAGATAAGCAAAAAAAAAACCCTGACAGATACGCAAACGGACAAATTGTGTGTATACAAACAACTCTGACTAAATTCAAGGTCACATACTGTCTTGTTATTTCATGCCACTGTTTCATGCAACTCGTTAAATATTTTTTCTTACTGCTAAACCGCAAAAACATACACGACCAAACATTTATTCGCTTCAATTCGCTTCAATTCGCTTCAATTCGCTTCAATTCGCTTCGATTCTGATTCACGTAATTTTTATCCGTGAACACATTTCTTTGAGCTTTAACGCGCTTCACGCTTGCTGCTTCTTAAAGGCGGACAAAGTTAATGCTCTAGGAATTTTTGCTAATGTTTACTCGACAACGCTGGCGAATAGACTCTTCGATCGTCAGAGCAGTTCCCCACAGTTCAAGGTCACACATTTCCCGCACTCGGGAGAGAGGCGCGAGAAATCTCATTTCTGTGCCCCATTTATCGCCCATTAAGGATAACGAATGCTCCACTGGTCCCATCTCCTGTAGCTTCCGTCCCAACAGCACTCATCATTTTTAGAAATCTGCGTCACTCGTTGATGGAGCTGTAGCTGTGCCCATTCCACATTACTATTCAACATTCACGATTTCCCCCCTCTATTCATGGCTATTTGAAGAATGGCAGAGCCATTCGAATGCCGAGATATTTTAGGTAAATTCCAAAATACTTTGTGCTTGATGTTTTGGAGGCAGTTAAGAGTGAGCCATCAGGATCAGAGTGATCAAATTTACCCCTAATAGTGCGGTCAAAATTTCGTGGTGCAACTAATCCTCAAATATCTCTTTAACGGGTGAATCAATGTCACCCACACTTTGCACAGGAGTTTGTCTCAATTTATTGTAACTTAATCATTTTTTCCCATAACAATTGAAGCAAGAATAAAAAAAACACGTTTTCGTCTTTAACTTGTATAAAACGCTATAAATCTCATTCTCGCAGAAAATGGGATTGTTCTCAGCACTTCCGACCTCTCTCACGCATTTTGCATAATATGACCTACGTCACAGCTCAATCAACACATGCGTCAAATAAGCATAATGTCGCAATTAGAAGAAAAAAAAGGGCGGATATTGTCCGAGATGTAAACCTTTTAAAATAGGTAGAAACCACCCACTAGGATTTTCAATAGGTAGTTACAAAGGAATTTTCTAGAACACAGCTAACAGGTGTTTACAAAAATATTGATCCGTTAAGACAAATTGATACACGTCATTGCATAAAAGCTGGAGACTTAATGCTCAAAAATTGAGGAAATATTTCACAAGAAGTTGTGCCATGAAGTTTTTACCACACTATAAGGAATATTTACTACTATTGTGCGGTCAAACAATCGTGGAGCAACTTATTCTCAAATATCTTTATAACGGGTGAATCAACGTCACCGTTACTTTGCATAGCAGTTTGTCTCAATTTGTCTTAACTTAATCATATTTTTCCACAAAAATTTTGGCTAGATTAAAAAACTTTTCTTCATAAATTTATAAAAACTAGCTGGGTACCTCGTTCGATGAATGGACTCTTTACTTTTCCGATCCAGGATGAACGGAATCAAAAGAATTGATCGTGAAGTAACTGAGGGTTTAGTGCGCACTGCATGTGAACGGAAGTGTCACTTGTTTACAATGGTGTCTTAGAAGATGGACTTTCCCAAGATTAGATCTAAACGAAACTAATGGAAAACTGAAAATTAAACTACAGAGACACCAGACTCCTTAATATAACTGTGCACCCTTTAATTTGTTTAAAAATCGAAAGTAAAGTGATTGGGAAGTTTTAGGCGGCCAAAGTGACGAACTTTCACAAATATAATATGTATAGATACTACAAATCTCCTTCACATGGAAAATAGAATTGTTCACAGCACTTCCCGCTTCTTACACACATTTTGTAGACGCGTATGGGTTACGTCACAGCTCACCAATCACACTTTTTAGTGGCAAAACTAGTTACATGAAATTAATTTTATAGTGAACACTTTT